ATCAGTTGTGGGCATGATAGAGTCATCCTCCCCAGCCAACCTTAGATAGATGTCGACAGGGATGAAAAACTCCTGCCTAAAATATCCCAACTTGGTTGGGGTATCTACCCGATGTTTCCACATATCCATGACGTCGACCAAAGGGGAAGGTGTATAATTTGAAAATAAAGTGTTCTGTAAAGGCTCAGAATACCTCGGCAAAACCTAAACAAGTGTTGGGGTAAATATTTTTTGCGATGTAAAGTGAAGTTTGTTTCAGTTTTTCCCTAAGATTCGTGTGTTCTATGGCAAATCTCAAACCTAAGTCTAAGCAAATGGAGATTGAAGGCAAGAATCTGAAGAAAATACAGAAAACACAAACAAGAGCAATGATTTAGAATCAAGAATAGTGGTGAATCATCGAGAACACTGTGACAAAGTATGTGCAAGGGTGCAAGGCCAAGAACAGTGGCAGAATGAACAAGTATGTGGGTATTGTGTGTATATTAAAGAACGGTTTGGGCAAAAAGCAAAATCATGAGATAAATATACTTAGAATACATGGTCGAATTCAAAACACAAATGTGAATGACGTTGCAATTGCAGTATACAGATATAAAAATTTGAGAAAAAACAAAAATTGAAACGACGGAACAGTGACTTACAAGGGAAGATTAGGGTCGTCGAGATCAGACGGTGGCAGCAACCGGAAAAGTGCAGCAAAATCCTCGCCGGAGGGGGAGAGCGAAGTTGGTTACAGAAAGCCTCGCGAGAACGACAATGGCAGATTTGGAAGAAAAAGTTAGAGAGAGAAAAAGCTTCAGAAACGATGGTGTAAAGTGAAAAGACGGAGAGAGGAAAGAAGTTTTGTTGAAACACAAAAACGGCGGCAAAAAGGCAATTAATGTACCTAAAATGACATATGTGTCAGACAGTGCACGCAAGAGAAATTTGACTTAGTAGCGCGTGTTAGGTACGGCCCAAAGAGAGAGAGACGCGTGGCAAGAACGGTTGAGTAATCATGCGTGACAGCTCATACGCGTGTTGAGGCTCTTAGAGTTCTCGATTTAACGGAGTAGAACCTCGGCTTGGAGGATGATCTCAGCTAAGAAACTTGAACAAACTTGGTTAATGATTTTGAGGCATTGGTAAAAGCAGACTGTAAGTTTTTGGTCATATTGAGCCGACGTATTATGACCTCAGTAATGAACGAATAGAGTTTTCTTAGTCGACGTGCTAAATGGAAAAAACGATATAGGTTCCATCACCTCAGGATGCCGAGGTAATAGAACCTAAGGGGCAATTGTGGGGACATAATTTTTTAGTGCCAACACGTGGCCAAGGTGACGCCGAAGTGTCAGCCGAGGTGCCACGTGTCCTGGTCATAACGCCGAGGTGATCTCGGATAGGCCGAGGTTAGCTGCGAGAATATCGGAATCTAGGATAAGCGGATAAGGGACAACAGTCCTAGAATGGGAGAGGATTTCAGTTTGGATAAAGATAAGACTCTTATAGAGTTTATCCCAATCCTACTGGGAGTCCAAGATTAGCAGTAATCCTAAGTCCATTGAAGCTAGGCGTCTGTTAGGACTAGGATTGTGTTGGCTATAAAAGAGAGGCACCCCCATGAGTCTAAGGTACGCAATTTATATTCTGAATAGTGAGTTAAGCTCTTTTACTATCTTTGAGAGATAACTTACTTGATCATCAGAGTGCCCCGGGATGGACGAACCACCGCCGGAATCTCTTCTTTCTGTTGCAGGTTGTTCGGGACTAATCTATTCTGCCAATGCTCTGCAGCTAAGTACTAATTTGGCAGTGTGGTTGGAAATTGACACACACAACTTTGATTTATTAACACATCCTTCTGTTTTTTTTTTAATAAAAAATTGATATGTTTAACATTTTATATGTAAGAAACTAAGTCATTGCCCTTATTTGAGTAAAATTTTTAATTAATATCACTTCAATGGACAAATTCATATTTTAATTTGATATAAGTTTAAGCAAAAGAATTGTTATAAGATAAGAAAAATGACAAGAATTTGCTTCAAAGATGAATTTAAGTAAGAGCATCAACAATTTTTGTATTCTTTTCATTCATATTCTTAAAAATGAAAATTTTTGGGCAACAAATATAGGTTCAAAATCCAATATGTTAGTTTTGGAATTGGGATCATATTAAAAAAAAAGAGTTATATTATGGATCCCAAATAAATTATCAAATTTTTATCAAACCTCTCACATGAGTGTGAGACCCACACATGTAATTTGTGTAGGTCTCACACCCATGTAAGAGGTTTGGTAGTAAATTTGACAGTTTATTTGGGGTCCATAGAATTTTTCTAAAAAAAAAAAAACAATTCCCTACCCATTAGAATTTGTCTTTTAATTTTGTGATGTTATAAATTTATTCCACCGTTAAGAAGAATTAATTGCTCAAATAAATTAATAATCTCTCAAAATCATGAGATAACTTATCTCAGTTTTCTAGCATAATTAATTATACTCTATCGCTTATCCTTATCTAACAATCAAATTTAATTTTTTAAATCTCACTACATTTTTTTTTTTTTTTTTTTTGATATCCCTATGGTGCAATAAGCAATAATCCAACAGCATACATAAAATCCATCTAGTATACCATGATATTAAAATATACATATATTACTTATCATCCATCGGCTCCTAATTCTATACCAAACCAAAGAAGAAACGGTTTCAAAGGGACAAGAAAAGGCATTTGAAATAACCATAATAAAAAGGAAAATTTACCCATAAGCCCTAGTTTCTGAAAAGTTGAACTATTTAGTCCTAAAAGTTTTCTTATACTTCATTCAGTCCCATTTGTACATCAATCTAATGTTCGAAACATTAATCTGATGTTTAGAATCTAATGTTCGAAACATTAATCTGATGTTTGAAACATTGTAATGGGACCTTTCGGTCTATAAGAAAACTTTTAAGACTAAACAGTGTATAAGATATTAATTTGGGATTTATTGGTGCATCCCCTAATAAAAATTTAGGCAAATGTTTGGGTTTTTTGGGGTTTTTTTTTCTGTTTTTTTCACTACAATTAGGCAAAAATTGGGAACTTGATTTTTGGATTTTTTTTGTTTTTTTTCACTACAAGACAAATGTTTTACAAAACTAAAAAAAAAAATCAAACAAAATATCACATCAAACCTCATAATCATTTTACTTTTACTCTCACAAACATCACATCCAACCATAAAAAAATCCAACTATTTTTCCAAACACAAAAAAAAAAATTCTCCAATAATATCCTACAACTACCTACAAAAAAAACTCACTTCCCAAACACCCACATAGAATAAACAATTATGTTGTTTGGTTGGAAAATTTTGAAATGGATTTAAAAATGAAAAGAAAAAAGATATATGAAATTAGTTAAAATATAAATATATTTTAGGGAAAATCCCCCTACCTTTTCTCTTTTTATTTTTAAATCCTTTCTCAAATCCTCTAACTAAACGCAGCGTTAGGCAAAAGATTACTGGTATTGCTAAAACAATAATCAATTTATAATTAAGGTCTCATGATGCTTGGTGTGGCTCTTAGTGGGTTATAATCCACTTCTCAAATTATAATTCACTTCTCTCTCTCACAAAAAGTTAATTATAATCAGTTTTTAACTAAAAAATTGATTAATAAACAATTATGTTGTTTGGTTGGAAAATTTTGAAATGGATTTAAAAATGAAATGAAAAAAGATATATGAAATTAGTTAAAATATAAATATATTTTATTCTCATTCCCCCTACCTTTTCTCTTTTTATTTTTAAATCCTTTCTCAAATCCTCTAACTAAACGCAGCGTTAGGCAAAAGATTACTGGTATTGCTAAAACAATAATCAATTTATAATTAAGGTCTCATGATGCTTGGTGTGGCTCTTAGTGGGTTATAATCCACTTCTCAGATTATAATTCACTTCTCTCTCTCACAAAAAGTTAATTATAATCAGTTTTTAACTAAAAAATTGATTATAACTATCTTTCCAAAATAGCCTAGAGTTGGATATGTTAAGTTTTTTTCATTAAATATATGTTTTTCAAAGAAAAATAGAAGGTTTCACTTATACAAACTTTTTGTCAATTAATTATTTTGAAATTAGAAATATGGTTATCTTAAAGCAACTTGGTGAGGCCATTGTTACGCTTTTTTGTCAGCATTAAGGCCATGTTTCGGTTGATGAATTTTTAGTCAAAAAATTATTATAAAATTTTAAATTATTTTGTTTATTTTTCTTAAATATATTTTCATTAAAAATTAAAAATTCACTAGAAAACTCAATTTCCAAATATTCCTTAAATTGGAGTCTCTGGTGGTGTCATTAGCGATCAATCCTTGGCTTAGTGCATCTTTAATATGAATAATTATTCAATAATTAACTAATGTGTTTCGTAGTTTCTCATTTACTGAAAACACAAATATCATAAGATATTTGGACAGTTTTTGTGAGTATGTTTTGAATTCAATTGTGTTCATTAAATTCAAAAAATGAAACAATTTAGAAAAAAAGAAAGAAAATAAAATAACAAAAAAAACTATTGAGATATTTTAATTAAATTTAAAATAAAAATTTATCATAAAAAAATAATAGCCAGTCATGAAAAATAATTATAGGACATGAGATGAAAGTAATTATTTTGTCTTTTTAGAGGACTGCTGAATCAACATAAATAAGTCCCTGTGTTCAAAAATAAATAAATAAATACATAAGTCCCCCTTTTTTTATTTTTTGTTATTAGTGTTATTTTTTTTTAAACTTACATCAATTTTTTATGTCTAATGTACAAATATCTATTAATTTTTACAAAAAAATACTAAAAACTAAAAATGAAAAATGAAAAATCAATTTATTTTGATTTTTTTTATTGTTGATAAACTTTTAAAAAAAATTATTTTATTTTTTTACTTTTGATCTGTTGAGTTGAGTTGAGCATAAAGCAAAGCATTTATTTAAAAAAAATCATTTCAAAACAAAATCATTACAAAAAAAAACCTAACTTTAAAATATTATTTATATATATATACATAGAAGGTTCTGTTCAAGAAATAACAAGTTACAAAACATTATTTATAATGAAATACATGATGACATGTCATCCGAGCTTCCTAGTTAGATCATCCTCCATTTTCTCAGCCATGCTCTCCAACGCAAGTTGGTACCTCTTCACCAAGTCTTCCAATCTCCACCCTTCAACCGGATCAACGGTGACAGACCACTCGATCACACACCCTTCATCTTTCCCATCACCACCGCCTCCCGGAACGATCTTGACTGTCGAAACATAGGACTTGAAACCAACGTTGCAGTCAACGATCTCATAACTAATCATCCTCTCTACTGGATCAACAGCTGTCAGTCTCTCAGTGGACCAACTAACAGGGCTGTCACCGCCCTGTGAGGCGAGTCGCCCCCCGGAACAGTATCGGATGCAACCGACCTCACCGTTGGTACCATGGATGCCACAGCAAGTGGGTAGGCTTGGAAACCATTTGTGGAGATTGAAGAAGTCCTTGAAAAGAAGCCATATTTGATCTGCACTTGCATGTTTTAGGTTTGTTGAAACCTTCCATTCCCATTTGGGTTGTGAGTTTTGCTCCATTAGAGAGAGAGAGAGATATGGGGGGTTAGTCAATTTGGGAATTGACATAAAGTTTTCAGGGCACCTTATGTAATTTCTCTTGGAATGTTAGGCATATAAAGTTTGTTACAAGAGTTAGGTTCGACCTTACACAAATCACATATGAAGTTTGTTATAAGAGTTAGGTTGCAACTTATACAAATCACATATGTGTGGTGTGAGAAGCTTGATAAAATATTTAATAATTTATTTTAAGTTTATAATATTTTTCTTGTTATAAGTATAAATATTTAAAATATTTAATGTATGATTTAAATTTATTTAAGTAATAAATGAATAATATTAAAGATTTCGAAAATTTTATTAAAATTTTTACAAAATATCTCACATGGGTATAGGACCCACACCATATGGGTCCCACATCCATGTGTGGATCCTATACCTACACTACAAGGAATAATACATTTGCCGACCAAAAAATTGGTCGCTAAAAGCCCATTCTTAGTCGGCAAAAGTTATCTGCGATCAATTTTTTTGGTCGCTACTTTAGTCGCCAATTGAGGGTCAATAAAAATAATTCGCGACCAAAATTTTTGTTGGTCAGGAAAAGTTGTATTTGCCGACTAAATTTTTAATCGCTAAATATATCATTACTGTGACTAATTCATTTTGTCACTAAAACACTTTGGTCGTGAAAAATGATATTTTCCCAACCAAATATCTTAGTCGCCAATTGTCACATTCCACGACCAAACAGATTAGTCGCCAAAAATTGAGGAATCGCCGACTAACAATTTAGTCGCCAAAATGTAAGGAATTGTCGACTAATAATTTTAGTCACAAAAGTGTAGAATTTGCCGACCAATTTTTTGTCGCCAAATCTCTTTCTTCTTCTTCTTCTTTTTTTTTTTTTTTTTGAGAACAATTTTTTTTTAGAACAATCAATTTTTTTTTATAAACATTCAATCCAATATCAAACAAAATTCATTCAACCCAACCACAATTAAGGAACAATAACATTTAAAAACAAAAAAAAAGCTTAGGAACAATAATTAACAAATTTCCTTTCTTGTAATTTCACTAAATCATCAAACAATAATTGAATTCCATTTAAAATAAAGATGAAAATATGTAACCGTAGTACAGCACAGGGCATATTCAAGTCAAATTGAATTTAGTACTCGTGTCTTCTCAAAAGCTATATCCTCTTTGAAGTCCAACATGACACAGAACTTGAAGCCTTTCACCTTCTTTAATAATTTAACATATCAACTTGTTTAGCAACTGATCCAAACTAACATATCAACTTTATGAATAATTGACCCTCCACCCTTGCATAGCCGAATGAAATAGCCACTTGGAAGCATTTCAGCTCTCACAAACTGAGCAGCAGCAGCTGCATTTGGGCTAGCACCAAAACCTGACAGAGATCTCTCATAAACCTTGAAAGATTGATGACAAAAAAGAACAAAGATCAAATTTTTGCATCATCAACTGTCCCAAAAGCATAAGTTTTAGAAAATAGGTGAAACAATGTATTCAATTAAGTCCAAACTCGATTCATTTGGTAATATTAATGCCCTCAACTAATACATTCGATCAAATGCTTTAAATAGTAAAAAAAGAAATTGATATGAATAATAAGGGATGGTAGAGGAAGTCTTGTAGCTAGAAAGAAACTTAACTTGCATTTCATTCACATTTCCCTCATATTTTCTTTTCGCTCCACAAATCCCCTATCCAGATCGAAAATCCAAACACACCCATTAAAAGATCTTCATTAATCATCAAGAATTAAAACTGTCCACATAAAAAAGAAAAGAAAAAACATTGAAATGTTTCAACTTATCTCTAAGAGTGAAGTGAATGTGGGTGCCTTTGTATGTGTGTGGGTGAATTTTCGATCACACTGCTGACTCAGTATTCAGCTGGAGAGCACTGGCAGAATAGATGACACCTGACTGACCTGTAATAGAAAGAGAAGATTCCGGCAGCGGTTCATCCACCCGGGGGCACTCTGACGATCAAGTCAGTATATCTCTCAAAGATAATCAATAGTACTAAACTCACTGTTCAGAATATAAATTGCGTACCTTAGACCCATCGGGGTGCCTTTCTTTTATAGTTACCTCAATCCTAGTCCCCATAGAAGCCTAGCTTCAATGGACTTCTGCTCAGTGCTTATTCTGGACTCTCCAATAAATAAAGATAAACTCCCTAAGAGTGTTATCCTTATCCATGCTAAAGTCCTTCCTCATTCTAGGACTCTTGTGCCTTATCCGCTTATCTCGGATTCCGATATCTTCGGAGATAACCTCGGCCTAACTGAGATCACCTCAGCGTCATAACCTGGACACGTGGCACCTCGGCTGACACGTCGGCGTCACCTTGGCCACGTGTTGGGACTTAGAAAATATATCCCCACAACTGCCCCCTAGGTTCTATTACCTCGGCATCCTGAGGTGATGGAACCTATACCAGAACTTCCTGTCAATACATCAGTTTAAAGTCTCTCAGCCGAGATCATTATATAGGCCGACATGTCTTTTTAAGTTTAAAAGTTTCCAAGATCTCATTCACGTGTATGAGCTGTCATGCAAAATAACTCAACTGTTTCAGCCACGCGTCTTTCTTTTGCGGGATCGTACTCTGTACGCGCTTGCAAGTCGTCTCGCACCTACATGCGCCGTCTGACGCATTCGTTGTTCCAGGCGCATTAATTGCCCTTTTTGCCGCCGTTTCAAGTTTTGACAAAACTCGTATCCTCTCTCTTCGTCTCTTTACTTTTCACTTTTCACTTCTGAAGCTTTTTTCTCTTTCTAACTTTTCCCTTCAAGATTCTCCATTGCTCAAGCTTCCAAAGCTCTACAACTTGCTTCGTCCATTTCCTCCGGCGAGGTGCTTGCCAATCTGTTCCGCTGCCGCCGTTCTCCTGACTTCGGCGATCTCAACATCAGCTTCTTTTCTCTGGTAAGTTACTATTCCTCCTAGTTTTAGTTCTTGTTGTGCTCCAAGAAATTTTGCTTCATCATTAGTCGCCATTGATGTTTTACTCAAATATTTGATTCATGAATCATGCATCTGAGCGTATTTATTTCACGATTTTGTTCTTTACCCATGTCTTGAATATTCGCACTGCTCACAACTTTTCTGCACTTTTTCCACTATTCTTAACCTTATACCCTTCGTACTTACAATGTTCTTGATAGTCCATCTTTGTTCTTGATTCTGAAGCGCATTCTTGCTTTTTTGTTTTTCCAGATTTTGCGCCTTCAATCTTCGTTTCCATAGATCTAGGTTTGGGATTTGCTTGTAGAACCCATGATTATAAGGAAAAACTAAAACTATTTCCATAAATTCTTTACCCAGCAAATTTTTAGGTTTTTGCCAAGGTCCCAATAACCCTTTTAAAACACCTTCATTCTGAAATCCAGTTCCTCTTAGTTAGGCCGATATCATGGGTATGTGGAAACATAGGGTAGACACTCCGACCAAGTTAGATCACTTTTGGCATGAGTTTGACATCCCTGCCGACGTCCATCTGAGGTTGGCTGGGGAGGAAGTCTCTATCATGCCCACAGCTAATGCCATACCCCTTCATGTTGTAGCTTTCATCGAGTGCGGACTTCGGCTCCCAATCAATATCCTTTTTCGTGAGATCATCCATTATTATAAGTTGAACCCAATGCAGCTTGCCATCAATTCCTACCGAGTTATAAACGGTATAATTGCCTTAGCCAAACAAGAAAATGTTAGGATCACCTTAGCCAACATCCAATACTGCTACACCATGTGTGGCCTCAAAAAAGATACAGGCTACGTTCACTACTTTAAACCGAGGTCTATAGAGTATAAAATCATAGCCGACCTCCCAGACTCCAACAAGGGAGCTGGAGATAATTACTTCATTACCTCGGGGAACTGGGAGTTTGCTCCAGACGAGGACCTTCATCCCTATCCTCTTCCTCGAACAGTTTTTGTAGAGGGCAATGGTAAGAGCCTTGTGTCCATATTAACTTGTTTGTTTTAAAGTCCCCAATACTTTATTTGTTTCTAATGACTGTTTTTCTTGCAGCTCTTCCTCAGCCACCAAAGGGCTTCCATCAGTCTTTCTTTCCTAGCAAAGGCTTCAGGAAACTGTTGGATTTGCCAGTCCTCAAACGGAAGGCCCCTCTTCTACTTAACTTCATTCCTACGTACAAGTCAGCTCTTCCCGACGTCCCCAAGAAAAAGAAGAAGAAGAGTCTGTCTCCTCCTTCTGCCACAACTCCTCAAGCTGCCTCCTCATCTCGGCAAGATCAAGGATCAACTACTAATCCAGCCGAGCAGCCATTAACCTCGACTCCATATCTGATCCCGATATCCCAATGCCAACGCCGACGACGTACCGTTTTTTCTACCAAGATGGGCCGTCAGAAAGTAGTTGCCAAAGATCTCTTGGCCAGCATCCCATCAACCATTGATGCTCCACCAGCGCAATCTCAGCCCCCTCCGAAGCCGAAAAGAATAAAGAAGGGTCAACCAAAGGCGAAGGTGACTTAGGTTGATACTGAGGATACTTTGCCAATTTCTAAATTGGCTGAAAGCGATAAGTCCTAATTTACTATTGAGAAGAGGCGTGCCGAGGCCCAACCATCTGAATCCCCAAAATCAAAGATGCCGAGGCCATCCAATACAACCACATCGGGGTCTCGAAAGCAAGATTTCCCCTGGGCTCTCCAAATCACGCTGGAGGATAAGCCAGTTAGGGCTAACGACAGTGCTGATGACATTAATGTCGGCGTTGCCCTCATTACCGCTTTGCTTCTTCCCGGCGATCTCGACCGAAACGCCGAGTTGAGTGAATATGAGAACTATGCTCTGATGCTTCAGCGCTCTGTCCAAGTGAGTGTCTTTATTTAGTTATTTTTCTTTCTTTCTTGTACTTAGAAAATTTTCTAATAACTTTTGTCTTGTTCACTTTCAGGCCATCCAACATGCTCATTCCTTCTTAATTCAGTCCTTTGAGAACCGGAAAGAACTGGCCGATGAGAAGAGAGAAGTTGCCAGTCTGCAAAAGGCCAACAAAAGCTTATAATCAAAAATGAAGA